TTTTCAACGATACTTTTTTTTGTTTTGGTCCAATTATATCGATAATAAATCAGTTTACTTACATCAAATCAAATTGTTTTTTATTTGTAATTATTTATATTTTCTTCAAGTTGACGGTAATGGTTATTTATCATACGTGGTGTATCAAAATTTATATTGTTGTAGACGCAATAATGACTTTTAAATATCTCTCTATTTACAAACATATATTTTTTCCTCCTTCACGTTTCTCTTTTTCTCATCTTCTTGTGTATATAACATTATCATTATCATAGTTTTGATATCCTACTCATCCAAACAGATCTTTGTTCCGTCATCATTTCATAATACAGAGTTTATATTTATCTTTTTTTAAAAAAAAACTTATACACCTGTAATGAAATATGATAATAAATACTAAAAGAGAGAAAAATGCGACAATTGTTTTTGAAATTGTTGATGGACTACTCTATACTTTTTTCATCCTTCCTGTTCTTGATAATAATGAGGACACACATTTACCTCGTCGTTACACCTGGTGATATACTGAGATGTTTAGTTTTATCAGCATAGAAAACATTTTAATACAAAACAAGGAGAGAAAAAACTAAACAAACTTAGAAATCAACATTTTTTCTGTCGATATAACGAACCCAACAAAGAAAAAAGCAAATTAGACTCAACTAGTATATCAGTGGATCAACATTTCTATTTCCACATATCCAAATTTTTAGTCAACTAGTTGGAAAGTAGGTGGAATTATACCGAGTTCAAAACAGTTAGAAATGTTGATTGTATGTTGAGATTTGACTAGTCCAAGTTGCTGAGTAATGTGATTATTTGCGCTAGAAACCGATGTTATTGTTTTTTTAAACAATTCTCGCCCCATCATAGATATGCATGTAGAGATTTGTATTCTTTTCAACTCCCTTACCATTATCATCATAAGCTCATGTTACACTGAAGTGGAGAGTGTGTATAGAAGAATAGTAAATAACATAGTTCCTCTATTGATATGGACAGGATCGAGATTTTCCAGTTTCGGTTAAAATTTTTTTTACCTCGAATCCGAAAGAAAAGAAGAAACTGCTCGTAAAATACGAAAAAATGATAGTGACAAACAATAAAGTTACGAACAGTCAGATGATGATGTATGTAATGATATAAACTTGTTTTCTGAATGAAACGCATTGTGCTTTCTAGAGATTTTGGTGATGTATTAAAGTTTATATGAAACAGTAGACGGACAGATGCGATATGTCAAGATGTGAACTCATCTTGTGGAAAAATATCATTGATTTTAATCTGATTTCCGGCGGATATGAGAATCGTTTTCTCAGGCTAAAACCTCTCTGCGATATGATACGCTACCCGACGCTCTCAAATCTCTTTACTATTTAACGCACGTTATGAAAAGAAGAATAAAATAGAATCTGATAGATGTCTGACGTAAACAAGCGGAAAAATCAAACTATCAATCTCATGACGCTGTTTCAACTAGATTCAATGTTGACAGCCAGTTAAAATAGAGAATATTTCAGTGATAATACTGTGAGACGAACAGTTTAAACAAATAACCTCGGCACACTCACGGTTCAATCATTAGTTATTCATTATACATTCCATGCCATGTCTGGATAGAAGTAACTTCGGTATGCAAGATTCCTCATTTAGACCATCATACAATTACATACTTTGTATCATACAAGTGATTTGTACCGTTGATTTACAATGTGTAAAACTCATAATAATTTTTTCTGTTGAATAGACCAGGTTACTTTTTGTATTTTATTCCTCTCAAGTGTCCTCACTGCCACTCAAAAATCTCAACTGTATGTTATGTGGTTACCGAATTACAGGTGACTGAAAGAAACTTTGAGTTTTGAACGCCATGAGACGAAAAGAAAACACTTTTATTACTTAGATGAAATATGTTCTTGTCATGATCTCTGAAAATAATTTGTAGTAGACAAGTGCAGGTTCACAGATACTATGACTTGTGTTTGTCTTGCTACCTGAACTGTGCTCTAATCTACTAAAAAACTTGACTTGATCCTTATCCAAAGTATGGAAACGATAGACAGCTTTAAGTTCGCTCTTTTAATTAAAAAGAAATATCAGCACTATCTATCGTCATGAAATAAATCTTCACAATATTTACATTGAAAACTAAAATTTAATTTTATTATATAATGATCGATTTGTTTTCGGTAAATCGATCTCGTCCTAGCAGTTAGTAGTTTGAGGCCAGAAAACCTTTAGCGCAATTCTGCTTCATAGTTCTATTTTTACATAATAATCAACTTTTTCCACCTATTTTAAACGTTCGGTATCACAACAGATTAGAAGATTTTGCTGTTTATTGTGGTAGAATGATATTTCTGAAAAATATGAAAGAAAACTTTTGTTGTCATTACTTAGATTAGTAGAATTCGCGCAGATAGTTAGAAAAAATTCCGACGAATCGTTTTTCACAGTATCATACTATAACAGTATAAAGACAGTATGAATCACTCACATGCTCTGTATGTTATGTCATACCCTGTATGTAATATCGTGATACGATGGAAACAAGCTAAATCCACATATCGCGAGACATTGTATGCGAAAGAAGATATGCAGCCAAGCAAGATCTTTAAAAGCATTATATTGGGTTATCTGTCTTAAACATATTTTATCGTCTTATTACATTACATACTGTAGGACAGGATTATATAATTCAATTTTCATTTCCTTAAGGTATTGCCTCAAAGTTAAAAATAGTACGAAAAACGAGCTAAGGTTCCTTTTGTCTTTAGTATATCTGGTTGAAAATGATAATATTTATGATACTTTTTTAAAAAAATAAACAAAACATATCACCTACCGTCATTATTGAATATTTTATTCATTAGGATTAAGTATGGATTTTATTTGCGTTTAGTGTATATGAATACGAAGGCCAATTTTGTTCTTCTTGTACGGAAGTATTCAATATGATGGAAATTTTTTTATTTATTTGCTTTACCAACACAAACGTAAACAGCCAGGTAATGGTACTACCAGCATTTTTACCATCCACTCATAACGTAACCCGGAACTATATTCGAACGTTATTTTCTTTTTTTATATATATTTCGATTCTTCTTCAATGCAACATCGCTGCTGCTTTTTGAAAAAAAAAGAAACGAAATAAACTTTTTTTTTATTGAAGGAAAGGTGCAGGAAAAAAAGCATTTTTCAACTTAAGCTTTATCAAAAAAACAATTTTCGTTTGGATTTCAAATTTTAAGTTCCGCACATCATATTTTATCAAATTGTAAACAAAATCAAGGAAATAGGAAGCATGTAACATACAGATATTGATACAATTTTTCACAAATACACTAGATTCTTTAACTAAAGTATTTTAATATATATCTAAGATTCTCATCCTGGCCACAGCAGCTCTCTAGATATTTTTAAAACAATTCCATTTCAATAGTAGAACAGTGGACGCCTTGTAACTAACTGTTTGAACTAACAGTTTTACTAGAGCTCTGCATATCATGTTTTCATAGTTAAATTACAATTTCTTGAATTACAGGCGTGATTGGAAAATCGATATAAAAATTTTACTATTATTATTCGACTATAGTTAGTTACAAGTAAACAGATTTTGTCTTTCACATATGAAAGTTGAGAAAAAACAGCAGATGGATGTTTTTTCTATGGATTATTTGTTCTCTTTTTTCACTTCTCGAAGTTCGATTTACGTACACACGCATATCTTTTTTTTTACATTTCTTAATAATATGTAGAAAACGTATATATATATTTTTTTCTCTCCTTTAACGGGAAGCTCGAACATAGGTATTCGTTTTTTTGTTTTTTAAAGTTGAATGAAAAAAGGAAATAAAGAATATTTCAATTTTTCTTTTCTCACTTAGAGACACAAGTAAAGAAATAAAAGTGTACAAAATCCATTGTTTCCTTAAAGAAGAAACAAAAAGTCTTGATCGTCTTAAGAAAAAGCACTTCAACAAAAAACAGTCATTAAAACATTGCCGTCAACAAGCGAATAGAAATACTCTGAAATCAAAATTACTGTTGCCGACTAAAGCAATAAGATTTCTTCTTTTAATCGAAAAAAAACGAACATGCCGTCGGTCTGAGACCTTTTCGATAATATTTAGAGACAGTTTATATCTATTAAAAATATCTCACACGCATCGAGATACATAATAAAAAAGTTTTATTAGTAACGATTTGCGCTCTAGCATTTATTATTAAGAATTCTCTATACCTGTAAATCTTATTTTAGAGTGAAAACCACTTTATCACTAAATATACACTATGTATAATCTTTGTATTTACTGAAGAAAGCTTGAAATTGTCGTTGTTATGGACCTTTAATTTATTGTACGATTTTGTAGAGATAGAATAGGTGCCGCCCTTGTGAGAAGACCGGTGGCGCCATATACTATACAAATCATCGGTACTATATTAAATACAAGTTAAAACACTGATCACATTTTTATCATCACTTAAATTTAGATATCTTTTAAATTAATACGTGTACAAGAAGAACATCATCTCAATATATCACAAATTTTCCGGTTAACCGATGAGAAAATTTCTCGTTTGATCACCTCATTGCAAGAGGGTGAGAGAAATATATCACTATTAAAATACTTCTGCCATTTTCGGTCAAGATATCATGTTACGATCAGTTAGGTATTAGAAAATATCAAAGGGTTAAAAGGATCTATGATTCTACAAGGATTTTTTTTCCTTTACTTTTTATACACAACGCATATTTTTTTCTTCTGTTTCTCTATCGTCGTCGTCCTTTTGATAATAACATACCGTACCCTGTGTCGGATGCGTCATGTTTATTTAACTCTCCTATATAGGAATAACACAATTATTCGAGTAAAATAGCCGAAACGTTTATTATTAAAGAATGTTAATATGATTATCGATATTTCTTAAAGCAAGTTATAAAGTTTAATAAGAAAATAAATTAGAAGTTCTCTTGTAGTTTTTATAGAAAGAAAATAATGGGTAATAGTCAAGTTCCCTATGTGTTCACTGAGAAAGATATAGTTATTTTACAAAAGTTGACTGGTAAATCAAAATCGGATATTCAAGAATGGTACAATGATTTTACAAAAAATTGTCGAAATGGTAAAATGAATAAAAATGAATTTCAACATTATTATTCAAAATTGAAAGAAAATCCACGATTAGAAACTATTACTGATTATATTTTTACTGCGTTTGATACAAATAAGTCTGGCAAGTATTGAACATGTGTTTCTATCACCGATTATTACAATAAACAATTATTTTTTTTCTTTTAGGTTATTTAGAATTTGATGAATTTCTTACTGGTTACATTTTAACGACAGATGGTTCAGCTCTAGACAAAATTGGATACGCGTTCGATGTTTACGATGTTAATGATAATGAAGTAATTGAGAAGAAAGAAGCTAGAAAAATAATTCGGTTATTGTTTAAAATAACAAACATGTCCGAGAATGATGTTGAAAATTATACAGAAACCGTCATGTTATCGTTTGATATAGATAGAGATAAAGCTATATCACGGAAAGAGTTTATTGATGGATGCCTAAATGATTCAACATTAGGGAAAATGATTAGTCCGTTTCATGTGTATTAAGTGAAAGAAAATAATTTGTTAGAAATATGATCAAATAATTTTAATATTCTTAAGCAAAAGATGTGATTTTGGGTTTTTTTGAACGAAATTTACCATTATTTTTTGGAATAACAATATGTTCCTACAGTTTGTCGAAACTTTTTGTCGAATACAACTTACTTTAACACATAAAAACTGTGACAGATATTATCGTTTACTTCTTTGAGACGAAAAGATAAAATCTTAACTCGGTCTATAGTGTAGGAGATTCCGCTTAGTTATTGTTTCACAAAATTTTTGGAGTACGACAGAAGAATGTTGTTTCACCGTTAATCTACTCTATTTTGAGAGACTAGACGCTTTTAATTCTGTCTCACTTTAAGACATAACTCGGGAATTTATTCATCTGATATGAACTATTTATTTAAGGGAATAAAAAGCTAAAATTATCTAATACATGAGATTTTTGACTTTTATAATATAAATGACAGCTCTTACTTCGTCTTAGTGGTATTGCTCGCGATCGTTTGTTTTCATTGGTGATGGGAGATCGACTTTTATCTTTAATGTGTTTTATTGAATACATTGGTTTTGACTTTGCATTCAGCATGATTAAATCACTAATTGGTCGTTCATCCAATACGTCGAAATCAACGTATCTGACAACGCACGTTTGATGATCCGAAGACAAAGCCAGAATTTTTACCTCATAGTATTCATTAGAAATTGAACATACATCATCTGTAGACACATAACATACTTTTTCTCCATGCAAACTAGTAAGAATAGAAAAAATATCATTTTTCATTTCATTGTTAATATTTGACGATAAATTGTTTTCATAAAATTTTTCGAGTCGCCATTCTGAACGTGTCAGTGGTGTTGATATTGAATTAGACATAGGTTCACCATTGAAAAATGAGCTGCTATTAGAAGTATCATTACTATGGTCAATTAAATTCCGTTCACAATAGTCAACATGATAAAATGCACAAGATAAATCCGCAGTAGGTCGATACCATTCAGCCAGTGTCTGTTGGTTAATCTTTGCTGTTGTAGTTTTTTCAGTTTTAATAGTTTTATTCAAAATTGCTCTTGAATATAACCATTCAGTAATAGATGATGATGATAGACAATGAAATGATGAATTATCTGTCAGAGTACCATCCATTGAACATTTTTAATAAAGTAACGCAAAGTGTTCCGTAGGTATTGCGGAAAATGTCGTATTGTTACCTAATGAAGAGAGCGCCAATTAGTGTCATCTATAACAAAAAAAGTAAAAAATAATTGCTGCCTATTTCGTTCATTTTTACTGTACGACTGCAAAATGAATTTGTTTTCGAAAACTTCATCGTTTTTCTCAGAAAAATATTGAAATTACTATTTTAATGATAAAACAAAACTAGTTTGTTTATCATTTTGTTCAAACGAAAATAAACAAGTGAACACACCGTTTGCCTTTGAAAAAAAAATTCTGTTGTCATTTTAACCGTTAATTTATTTTAATCAAAAATCTTTTCAAAAACTCCCTTGTGCATGCAGAACTGAGTGAAAAGATTTCAAGGAAAAGTCTGTTTGTTTGATCGTGTTATGGCACGTGCAGATACTCTTTTGCAGATAAGTCGGATAGAAAAAGTTAACCTACAACCATCCATAGCAACAAAAAGAGCCGCAACCACAGAAGAATCTAACTAACAACCGTACTTGTAATTTAATTATCGTTATTATCATCGGCTGGTAACAGATTTAGATTATGATGAAAAAAATTAAACGAATCATATTTCTTTTTAATAATTCTTAATTTATTCAGATTTGATCCAAATGCATCATTCAATTGTTCCTTATAAGTAGTGTTAGTGGGCGGATCCATCATCATTAAATTTAAATAGGCTGCTGTTGACTTTGCGTGTAGTTTTTGGAATGTTTCTCTACACCAATTTATGTGTTCATCCCCATTGCCTTCACACCACGATGTAATTACATTAACCAGCCAATCTTGTTTTCTCAAATGAAAGTAAGAAGTTTCATCAGCTGATGTTTCTTTCATAATACCGCCAATCGCAACTAATTGGACGACTGAATAAGGTGAAGTTAAATTGTTTACCGAATCAACAACAGAATTCACAAATTCAATTGTCATATCATGGAAATCAATTGACCCTGATTTAGCATAATATTTTCGATGCTGCGAGCTTTTATCATCAAATAATTTTTGATTCTAAAACTTACAATAAATTTACAGCGAATGTTGGGGTAATAAAGAGAACAATTATGTTACTTGTACATGAGTTATCCACACCCAAGATTCTTGTACTGGTAATCCAAGTTTTGTTAGTGGTTCAGCCACTTTTTCAGCTTCACCTTTTGGCAAATAAAACGTATACACTACTTTAAGATACATTTCTCGGTCCTCGTAAGTCAGCTCTCCATTGAATATTTGACAACTGAATTTTCTTGGTGCTGTCTTCATGTAGTTGTTTATACCAAATAAAATTTGTCTGATTTGAGACATTGGATAATACTATTGAAATATATACATGTTATATGTTTTGTAGACACATTATAGTTCATATACTTACATAATTTCCTCGATAGCACAACCCAATTCGATGAGCTTTCAATACCAAAATTGGAAGCACAACCTCTCAAAGCCCAAAATAAATCAGACTTCTCATTTTCCATTGGCTAAAACCACATTTGCAGACAAAATATTATCAACAGATGCACCAAATTTTCTCGAAAGCCAACCAGTACCTCTTCCCAACACAACCAAATACACCAGTATAATTAACAATTCCTAAATAGTTAAAAAATATATAAAAATTGCTCAAAAACCAAAGTGAATATACACATGGAAATATCGGTTGGAATTGCCAAACCGAACGCTTGGGTTTCATGATCCAGCTCTGCAAGTAGAACGCCGGGTTGAACAAGGACTTCTCTTTTCCCTGGATTCACAATAACAGCTAAAAAACCAACAGCAATATGATGTGCTTATTCCCTTTTCGTTAAATTTAGTTTACTTTTCATTTGAATGAAATCAATAACGACCCAAGCGTCAAAAAAAAGTCTAGTATCGCCCGATGCATCTAGATTACTAGATTTTTACTCGATTGCAACTACTGTGTAACGACAATGGAAATCTAGTAATTGGGCGATTACTAGATTTCTTCTTGTTGCAACTATCGATTTATCGCCCGATAATCGATCGATTTAATTATTACTCGATGCACCAGATGCATCTAGTTAAAAGTTCCTTTTCCAACTAGTAATCTAGATGGCAACTAGTCGTGTATTGCCCGATTATAGACGAAATGTATCTAGATTTTTCCCATTGGTGATATTTGCTTGGGGATACCGCCGTGAATAGTGGAAAGGCCTGCAAATGAGTGATCGCGGACTCTTGCAGTTACAGTTAATCCTTCTACGACATAAAACATTAAATGAGTTGTGGTTTTTAGAATTAATTTCGGTGCGCTTACGTTGTTGTGCAAATTTAAGAACAGCTTGAACATCACCTGAACTATAAGTGCTGGACTATGATTGTCAAACATGCTATTCCATATTCTTTTTGCTTGTGAATAGCCGTCTGTCGTCGGCCAAAACACTTTTGCTCTTTGACCCAATGATTGTCCCAGTTCTTCGCAGCAAGTTAAATTGGTGTGCTGTTGTTGAACAGCCGTGTTGAGTATATCCATCTCAAATCGCCGGTTTTAGTATTGTTCAAGGGTCTCAGCCTTTAGATGTGGTTGTATATTTCTGTATTAAATATAAACGGCAAAAACGAACTGAAAGCTATACCTGGATAACTAACTCATACGGCACAGTGTAGAAAAAGAGAAGTGAGAAGAACAGTTATATAAACGTATAAATACAATGTGATGGTCAGATATATTTATCTACTTAGGGCAATCCAAAAGTAGTGTTGTCACTATCTTATTTCCTTATAGTAAGTTCAAGGAAATTTTCGTTTTTTATGTAGTGATACAGGAAAGAATACTCTATTTTTCTATGCTATTTGATCATACTTCAACTAATATTATAATAATAAAATTTCGATAAGATCTGTTTTGTTTGTATGTGTCCCGGTAGCATGAACGCGAGAGGAGTATTTTTTGAATAACTTT